GTGGTAGGAGTTGTGAAATTGTCCCTAAGCAATTGACTACTTTACTAGACCGATAGCAAGTTTTATGTGGGAGAGGCATAAGCTAACATACTTTCTCTTCTTGGATCATGTGCACTTATGATTGGAACTCTAGCAAGCATCCGCAACAAATAAAGATCATTAAGGTAAAACCCAACCATAGCATTAAAGCATCAAGTCCCCTTTATCCCATACGCCACAACCCCCCTTACTCGGGTTTATGCTTCTGTCACTCAAGCAACCCACTATAAGCGGATCATGAACGTATTGCAACACCCTACATCGGGAATCCCTCACGCTTGCATGACACAGAAGGCACAATAGGACAGCAACATAACCACAAGCAAATTAAACCAATCATAGCAATTCATTAATTACCGGTAGGACAACGAAAATCTACTCAGACATCATAGGATGCAACAGATCATTGGGTAATAATATGAAGCATAAAGCACCATGTTCAAGTAGAGGGTACAGCGGGTTGCGGGAGAGTGGACCGCTGAATATAGATGGGGGAAGGTGATGGAGATGTTGGTGAAGGTGGCAGATGTGTTGGTGTAGATCGTGGTGATGATGATGGCCCCCGACGGCGTTCTGGCGCAACCGGAAGCAAGGGGGAGAGAGCCCCCCTTCTTCTTCTTCTTCCTTGACCTTCTCCCTAGATGGGAGAAGGGTTTCCCCTCTGGTCCTTGACTCCCATGGCGTGGGAGGGGCGAGAGCCCCTCCGAGATTGGATCTGTCTCTCTATCTCTCTCTATTTCTGCGTCCCCAGATTCTGCCCTCACACCGTTTCTTTTATATCCGGAGATCCGTAACTCCGATTGGATTGAAACCTTCACCATATTTTTTCCCGAAAATTAGCTTTCTTGCGGCAAAAGAATAGCAGCAACCGCCATACGAGGGGCCCACGAGGGTCAGGGCGTGCCCAGTAGGAGCAGGCGCGCCCCCCTGCCTCGTGGCCACCTCGGGCACCGTCTCGCGTTGATTCTTCCTCCCATATTTCCCAAATATTCTCCGGTTGTTTTTATCCCGTTTGGACTCCGTTTGATATGGGGTTTCTGCGGAACATAAAACAAGCAACAGACAGGAATTGGCACTGGGCATTGGATCAATATGTTAGTCCCAAAAATAATATAAAAAGTTGCCAAAAGTATATGAAAGTTGAATAATATTGGCATGGAACAATCAAGAATTAGATACGACGGAGACGTATCAGAACCCAACCACCAAAGGCCAGATTCTAGGTTTTCATCCTGACTGACAAGTCCGAGCATATTCATGCAATGCCTTCAACAAGGTAACAACACAAAACATTGCCATTGCCAGTTATAGCCAACTCGGGTCAAACCTAGGTTTTCCACCCCGAAACTCAAGACCGGGTACTCGAGAAGCACCACATCAAAAGCAATAATGTGATGTCTCCACCACTTTTTCGTAATCACAACGGCTACATGCGCTAGGCTATTCCACCGCCGCAACAACACAACCATACCCTCTGCGTCAAGTCATCGTAGATGGCATCTCATCGTCGAAGAAAAATTGACTAGAGTCAGAGCCACCAAAACTCGTAAAAGAGACTTTTGGCTGCATCTCACAACATCCCAAGTATGAACCATGGACAGTAGCCATCGGATCCCTCAGGAACTCAGTGGTCACTTCAAGTGAGGGCGCCGCCGCAGGTGAGCACGCTGCAAGTTGACTCCATACCACAGCAGCAGATAACCATACTTGTCGCCCCGCTGCATCATGGCCTGGTCCCCGAGCTGCAGCCTAGATCCAGCCAGGCGGCCGCATGCGGGCAGGACACCGCCTCACTAGCACCGGAAACAACCATTGTGGTTCGCTTCACCATAGCAACGGCTGCTGCCGCCCCGCAGGGTCCGCTCGAGCCCAAGCTGAACCGTTATTGTATGTGTGGCCATCGCTGCCAATGAAAGCATTGCAGGGCCTTGTGCCGCTAGCCCTTTGGGCGGATCTGAGTAGACCGGACCACACTGACAACCCTTAGGAGAGCGCACTAGGTGATGAGGACCTTGGGCCCGCGGGCATGGACCTAGTCCTTCGCTGGAGACAGCGTTAGGTTGCGAGGACGTGCATGCCAAATCGGGATCCTTGGAGAAAGCTGGACGCGATGGGAGAAGACCCGCCGCCATTGTCGGGCGCCCGAGGCCTTGCCCCGGGGCACCGATCAACGACGGCGAGGAGGAGAGGGACGGAGTCACGAAGGAAGGTTTTCTAGCGGCAGGGCCGCACGAGTCACCTTAGCGAACGACAGAGGGGCCATTTCTTAAAGAGTAAAATGCATGCGCGGTCCTAATTCTTTTGCAGAAATGTCAAGTAAGTCCCAAATCTATGAAAATGCATATCACAGTCCTAAATCTTTTGTAAGTGGTTCATGGGAGGTCCTATTGACCTCTGACCCCGTTGACCGACTGGTATGGCGCTTTGACCACTGCCATGTAAGCACTATTTTGCATAGAACCCCCCGCGAAGTCATATCTTCTAAGTTCATGGCCCTCTTCATCCAACTCGGCACTGCAGTAAACCAATCAATGCAAGCGCTGCTCCCGCTTGTTCCCTTCGCCGGTCTTCTCTACCTCGGGCTCTGAAAGAAGAACGGCGAAGACGACAGGGACTTGGCACGGCGCCTCTCCCTCCGGCTCCTCGACCGGATCCCCGCGCTCTTCCAAGCTGATGTGCGTGCATGGTGCACTCGCCCAGTTTACGCAGGAGCAATTAGTGTCGGTCGCCGTGAGGTAGTGGGCCCGTCGTCCTCGGGGGCCATTGCTCGAGCGCCCAGCTGCTAGCACCGCTCCCGCCGTGCCATGGCCACTGCGTGCACGGCGGCTGAGCACACAACAGCTCTGTCACTGGGTCACGCCGACAATTCTCGAGACCTGTTCCTCCCTATTCGAGCTCTGCCCCTTCTTCAGGATCCTCCCAGTCAAGGCAGTTTGGCCGCGGCCTCCTCGTTCATCGTCTCCGCCTCTCCGGCGAGGTAAGCCACCACGGTGAGCGACGGCCAAATTGAGGACTCGCGTGCCGGTGAGCTCAGTCACAGTGATGGCCGGCAGGAGGTGCGCGACAGCGCGAGGCTGTGTGCGTGTACTGGTGTACACCCGAGACCAGACACACGAGCCCGCCATAGCTTGACTGCGTGGTGCGTGGCTGCGTGCTCAAGTTCCCTCGGCAGTAACATCACTAGCTAGCTACATGGTGCGGCGCGACATGAACCTGGTGACCAAGGTCACCAAGCTGGATTTAAGGAGGCAGGGAGGTGGATGGATTTTCAGGGAGCTAGCTCACGTACGTACGTCGCAGCTTACACGCCTTCTAGCTTGATCGATCTGCGTCGGCTTCGGGGTCTCGCACATGCGCCCATGGCTGGCGGAATGGCACACGTGGCGTGGCATGGGTCCTCGAGACCTCGACACACACACCTGGCCGGCGGCACGTCGGGTGGTCTGATCTAAGAGGCTGTCGTGAGAGGAAGAGGGCGTCGGGGACTACTTCCGGGCGCTGGTGTGGCCGGACGTGATGTTGTCCAGCGGGCGGCGCGAGGAGGTGCGTCGAGCTGCTGGAGAAGGTGGTCACTGAACAGAGGGGGGGGGGGAGGAGCCGACAGGAGAGATGGCGGTGGCAGCCTAGCAGCACGGAGGAGGCCGGAGGTCCATGATATTAGAGGATACATCTTCACAGGGGGTTTTGTGCAAAATATATTGCCTACATGGCGGTGGTCAAAGGGCCACGTCAGCCGGTCAACAGGGTCAGATGTCAATAGAACCTCCAATGAACCACTTATGAAAGATTTAGAACTGGGATGTGCATTTTCATAAATTTAGGACCCACTTGACATTTCTGCAAAAGAATTAGGACCGCCCATGCATTTTACTCTTTCTTAAATAGATTGTACTCCCTTCGTCCGAAAAAGCTTGTCACAAGTTTGTCTCTCAAATGGATATATCTAGCATCAGGGATAAGCTTTTTCAAAGAGATGGAGTATGATCTAGTAAAAATGCTATACTTAGGAAACCTATGATCGTTCACTCGAAAGATAGCTATGCAAGTGTGAGTGCGGATATTAAGCTACGAAACGCTCAACAATGGGATACGTCCGCGGCTATGTTTAGCATCACCACATTAATTGAGCGGCCAAATCTAACCTGTGACGGCCCTGCACCCCTCAAAAAATGGCGCGACGGCGCATGTGCCCACCAACCCAAGAGTTGCGTTTTCAAGTCGGCCTTTGTTTGGAACGCGCGGTTCCCCCTCGAACCTCCGTTCCAAGCAGGCCGGCCGTCCGCGCGGCCGAGCGATGGAGCCGTCGACGCCGCCGGCCGGCACCCACGACCTCTGGGGGATGGAGGACGAGCACCCGTCCACGGAGCGGGTGTTCGAGGGGGAGTCCGTCCCGTCGCGGTCGGAGACGATCACGGTGCGGTCCGTGGGGGTGAGCATCATGCTCGGGTGCACGCTGAGCGTCGTGGCCATGAAGCTGGCCCTCACCTCCGGCTTCGCGCCCTCGCTCGCCATGCCCGCCGGCCTCCTGGGGTTCTTCCTCCCGCGCCTGTGGATGCGGCTGATGGACAGCTGCGAGGCGTCCCAGCTGCCCTTCACCCGCCAGGAGAACACCGTCATCCAGACGTGCGTCGTCGCCTGCACCAGCATCGCCTACAGCGGTACGTACGCGGCGCGCTCTGAGCATGCATGTGCATGCGCACTGGTTGGCGGGCTGACTGATCATGTGTATGTGCAGGTGGGTTTGGGACGTACATTCTGGGGATGAGCAAGCACTCGGCGGAGGGCGGCATCGGGAGCGACGGCCTGAACGTGGAGGAGCCGCAGATCGGCCGGATGATCGTCTTCCTCCTCCTCACCAGCTTCGCCGGCATATTCGCCATCATGCCGTTCAGGGACAGCCTCATCGTCCACCCCGGCTGACGTTCCCCAGCGGCACGGCCACGGCGCACCTGATCAACACCATGCACACTCCCCAGGGCGCCAAGCAAGCCAGCCAGCAATTGGTGATGTTGTTGAAGACCTTATTTGGGACCGTTGCATGGTCGATCTTCGAGTGGTTCTTCGCCGGCCGCAGGGGGTGTGGCTTCCAGGCGTTCCCGGTGTTTGGCCTCACCGCTTTTCAACGAGGGTTCTACTTCGATTTCTCCATGACCAACGTCGGCGTCGGGATGTTCTGCCCGTACAAGATCACCATCTCGATGCTCGCGGGATCGTTGGTCTCGTGGGGGCTCATCTGGCCGTACATCCAGACGAAGGAGGGGGACTGGTGACGGATAGATGGCTCTCTCCTCCCCTCCCTCGCTCCCTTCCCGCGGGACGCCGTCGGCTTGCGGTTCCCCCTCGTCCCCGGCGTCCAAGTCAGATTCGCTCCCCTGCTCCCTTCTCCCCTCGTGCTCCTCTCCGGGCTATCCGCCGGCGGCGGGGCCCGAACCCCTCCCACCTGCGTTCCCCCCTCCCTGTTCGGTGGCCCTGGCAGCGCCACGGGCCAACAAGTTCTGGGCCCTTGATTCCGACGACTCTGGCTCCGATTCTGATCCTGAGACTCCCCCTCCTCCTCGCTCGGCATCGGTGGTTGGGTTGCCTCCGTTATTGGTGGCGGGCCGTCGGCGCAAGTTTGCTCCGGGGGGTCGGGGCCGGCTGTGTGCGCTTGATGCGGGCCCAGATGGATGGCGTCGTGTTGGCCGTGGGCGCCGGCGCGCCGCTCCCTGGGCGGCGGATCCTTCTTTAGTGAGCCCGGGGGTGGACGCCATGGCCTCACCCGTCTCATCCTCCTCGGTGGCGGTGCCCTCCGGTTCGTCGCCGTCCAGGTGCCTCCCTTCCACGTCGTCGGCGGCGCCGGCGCAAACCCTAGATCTGGGATCGGGTCTTGCGTTGGTGCCCCGGTCCGTGGGTCGGGTCCCTCTGGTCGGTGACGGGCCGTGTGGGCCTCTGTCGGCCCCTTCGCTGGATTCCACGGCTGATTCCC